ACAATAATAAGTGACGAGAAATTCTTTGTTCACATGCCTTGGGCAGTGTGTGTTTCAAACTACGATGTAACCAGCTAAATTTTGAGCTATAATTGAAGAGTATTTACAAAGAAGCAGCCTTTTCTACAATCATCTAATAACTCTTTTACCACGACGTTTGTTCTTCATACTCATTAACGTTATACTATTGAAAAATGTGTTGATAGCATGTCGATATGTTTTGTTAGTAATAAATGACATATCACCAGTCCATTCTTTAATGAAGAACTGACGTCATTTCATAGTCGAACTTAATCATTACAGCAATACATGACAAAAAAATAGACAGAAACTGCATCTAAGTAGGACAGCTTAGCAACATCAAGATTGTGAGGAAATTAGAAATGTCGTATCTGCATATGAAGTGATTGTGAATGCAGAACACCTCATTTCATACAGCAATTATTAGAAATGTGTTGACAGCATGTCGGTATGCTTTGTATTCATGTTTCTTAATTACAAATGTTCGAGTGACCTTATTAACGTTAATGATTACAATTTGATGCCTTCCACACCACCTCACTTCATACAGAGATTTTGAGTCTTATGAACAAAGGCGACTAAGATTCACTGATGTTAGTAGCTGCAGAAATCGCAGCATATTCGTCAATCACTGGCATATTCCTAACATGCTCGAGAAGACTCGTAAGTTGGCTATGAGCCTATGAACATAATTAAATCTTTGGAGATTAATGACTCTGTCAATAGGGTATCAGCAAGCCCGTGAAAGGCCTGAGCACACTCATCGCTGCTGATTTGAGCATAACCAATGAACTTTCTAGCCGCCAACGGAGCAGAAAATATTTTTCAGGGAGTTGAAAGTAGTTCTTCAGTACTAGTACGCGAAGGGATTGCCTGCATAAAATCCCCCAAATGCTCAAATTCCTTACAGGAACAGTGAATATGCTCATCATCCGGTATCCAAATGACAAGACACTCTCCATCCATCTCTTGTAGTGTCGCACAAGATAGGATCCATTCGCCAAATCTGTTGTTGCGTATTGCACAAACTGTACAATTTCGTGTTGCAAGACATTGAAAGCATAAGGTTACGAATATTCCGTGCATGTTCTTCAAGGGGCATGCCGGTCTTGACATGCATATATTGCATCCCTTCTCTGGTCTGATTCTCAAAGTTGGCATCAATACCAGCCTTCAAGATCCCAAAACAGAACTTAATGATGCAGTTATCGAAACCTGAAGAATATACATGCACAGAAAGATTGAACAAACCTTACCTGCTCAAAGAGCACTTGCAGACACGTCTGTCCATTCAAAAGATTGAATAAACATTACCTCGATGGCATTGTGTTTTAAAACTACAACATGAATCTGCCATGTGAAATCTTAGAGTTGTTTTGTAGTTGATATTTTAGGAGGGAAAGTTTAACACGGAAGAGGAAAGGTTTTTCAGGAATGTGCAGAGCTCTCTGCACACAGAGCAGCTACACAGATATTTTATAGAAATATCAGCACAACAACTTTCTATTACAAGCTATCTCAGCCCTTAATTTATAAAACAGAAATCTAAGCCTACACTTGTCCTATGAGACTAAGTAAAGACTTAACAGTTGATCCCTTCCTTCTCAGCCATTAGATCAAAACCAACTTTCATTTAATTCCAACACTCCCCATCAAATGAATTTTGGTTTTGATCCCTAGCATTTCTCTGAGATAAACGAATCTGTCTTTAGGTAGAGCTTTGGTGAAGATGTTTGCCATTTGATCCTGAGACTTGCAGTAGATCAGATCAATGGTATTCTCCTGCAATGCTTCCCTTATGAAATGAAACTTCCTCTTGATATGTTTCGTTTTCTGGTGAAGAATAGGATTCTTAGTCATGGCTATTGCTGATGTGTTGTCACACATAAGTGGTGTTGCATCCACTTGCATTTCACCAAAATCCTTTAACACAAACCTCAACCATATAGCTTGAGAGGTAGCCATTGCAGCACTAACATACTCTGCCTCAGCCGTGGACAGTGCAACACTTTGTTGCTTGACAGAAGCCCAAGAAAATATCCTAGAACCAAATGAGAAGGCATATCCTGAGGTACTTCTCATGTCATCTTCACTGCCTCCCCAATCACTGTCACAGAAGCCAACTAGGATTGCTTCTTTTCCCTTCTCATACTTGATCCCATAGTCTAAGGTCCTTGAGATATACCTGAGTACTCTCTTAGCAGTTCCCATATGAATTCTTGTGGGATTATGCATGAACCTTGATAAGAGACTGGCTGCATACATAATGTCAGGCCTTGTTGCAGTCAAGTAAAGTAGACTCCCAACAATTTTCCTGTAGAGATTTTCATCAGCAGGCTCAGAACCATCCACTTTGCAAAGCTTCTCATTTGTGATCAATGGTGTTCCCACAGATTTGCATCCTTCCAGTTTAAATCTTCCAAGCAGAGATTGTGCATACTTCTCTTGATGTATGAAAATTCCAGTAACATCTTGTATTACTCCAATTCCCAAGAAGTGATGCAGCAAGCCAAGATCTGTCATCTCATATTGCCTCATCATGTCTTTTCTGAATTCTTCAATCATTTCTTCACAATTTCCAGTAAAAACCACATCATCAACATATATGGACACGATAAGCATATCAGTTTTCTCACCAGTTTTTGTGTACAATGTAGCTTCACTAGGACTTTTGTTATATCCACATCTGTTGAAGTAGAGTCTATCTCACTGTACCAAGCCCTGGGGGCTTGTTTGAGTCCATACAGAGCCTTATTTAACTTATACACTCTCTTTTCTTCATTTGGAACTTCAAAACCTTGTGGTTGATCCACATACACTTCTTCCTCCAGTGTGCCATTCAGAAAGGCTGATTTAACATCTAATTGATGAAGTTTCCATCCCTTTTGAGCAGCTAGAGCAACCAAGGTTCTAATGGTGTCTAACCTTGCCACAGGGGCAAAGGTTTCATTGAAATCAATCCCTGGTTGTTGTGAGTAGCCTTTGGCTACCAGTCTTGCTTTATTCTTCTTTATAGATCCATCCAGATTCAGCTTGGTCTTGTAGATCCATTTCACACCTATCACAGGTTTATCACTCGGTCTGTCCACTAATTGCCAAGTAGAGTTTTTTTCAATCATAGTGATTTCTTCACTCATAGCTTTCTGCCAAGATTGATCCATTTCTGCTTCTTCAAAACTCTCTGGTTCAGCAATACAGTAGTTGCAGACTGCATAGATCTCATCTAAACTCCTTAATTTTAATGGAGTTGTTCCTGGGGAGGAACCCTGCAATTCTTGTCCTTCTGCATTTGAAGTAGTGGACTGAGATCCTTGTGATGGTGTAGAGAAATCGTTTAGACTTCCACCTGTTGTAACAAGTTCATTTTCATGTTGCACAGTTGCTTGTGTTCTTTCCATTGTTAATGGAAATGAGATGGTGTCAATGCTCTTGGTTTCCCAATTCCATGCTTCATTTTCTTTGAACACCACATCTCTTGAGATTATAACTTTATGTGTCTCAATGTTGTAGAGCCTATAGCCCTTTTCACAGCTTCCATAGCCTACAAGAACACACTTGATACTGTTGACTTCAAGTTTGTGCCTTAATTGAGATGGTATCTGTGCATAGCAGATTGATCCAAACACCTTCAAGTGCTTTACATTTGGTTTTCTGCCACTAAATGCCTCAAATGGTGTTTTCTTCTCGAGTGCTTTAGTTGGACACCTGTTTAGAAGATACACAGAAGCATTGACTGCCTCACCCCAGAAGGAAAGTGGCATTTTCTTATCATGCAGCATTGACTTGGTCATTTCAACCACAGTCCTATTCTTCCTCTCAGCTACACCATTCTGCTGTGGTGTGTAAGCCACTGTCAGTTGCTTCTGTAATCTTGCCCCTTCACAGAATTCTTGGAACTCAATGGAAGTGAACTCACCACCTCTATCACTTCTTAGTCTTTTGATCTTCAGACCATTCTGAAGTTCAACCATTAATTTGAACTTTTTGAAAATAGTAAAAACTTCACTCTTGTTTCTCATGAAATAAACCCAAACCATCCTGGTGCAGTCATCAATAAATAACAGAAAATATCTGTTCCCACTGAGTGTAGGTGTCTTCATAGGACCACACACATCTGTGTGAATGAGTTCTAGAGGTTGGCTTGCTCTCCATGCATTTCCAGTTTCGAAGGAGTCCCTGTGATGCTTCCCCAGTATGCAACCTTCACAAGGCTCTTTTGTTTCTTGTAGCTCAGGCAGTCCAGTCACCATTTGTAATCTCTCCAAGTTCTTCAAACTGTGGAAGTTGAGATATCCAAACCTCTTGTGCCATAACCACGAATTCTCTGCAACACTTGCTTTTAGAGCAACTGAGTTGGAGTAGTCTAGCATAAGTGGAAAACTTTTGTTTTCAGTCATGCCAACTTGTGTTACCAAGTTTTGGAGACTTCTTTCATCAAAGATCTCCACCATGTCATCCCCAAAGAGTAAGAAGTAACCGTGTGCAATCATTTGTCCCACACTAAGGAGATTTTCATCAAGGCCAGGTACTAGTATCACATCTTTGATGAATCTTCTTCCACCCTTTGTTTCTAGAACAAGAGTTGCTTTTCCAGTAGCTTCCACAAGTTGACCATTTCCCATTTTAACTCTGCAATTGAAGCTTCTGTCAATGTTGACTAACAGTGATTCATATGCAGTCATGTGATTACTGCATCCACTGTCAATGTACCAGATTCCTCTTTTATTTTCAGTTCTTGCAACACTACACGCATAAAAAACATTTACTTCCTCTTCTTCTACTCTATGTGCATAGTTGACAGCTTGGATTCTTCTTGGATTACAGTCTTTTGCCAGATGACCAAATCTCTCACACTTAGTGCATTTGGGCTTTCCCTTATACCAGCAGACACCATAGTGTAATTTGTCACATATTTTGCACTTGGTTTTAGTAGAATCACTGCTAGTATCTGATTTTGATTGTGGAGTAAACTTGTTATCCTATTTCTTCCCTTTTCCTTTCCAGAACTTCTTTTGATTTGAGTTGTTCCCCTGAGCCTTGTAGCTGCTATCTCTGTCAGTCAAACTTAGGCTAGTAAAAGCCTTTTCAGCTAAGCTTTCAGAATGCATGTTTAACCTCTGCTCATATCCTTTCAGTGTACCAATCACTTCCTGAACCTCAATAGAATCAAGGTCCTTGGTTTCTTCTATAATTGATGCAATGGAATCATAGGATTTGGGTAGGCTTATAAGTATCTTTTGCACTAATCTTTGGTTTGATAGTTCTTCACCTAGAGTTTTCATTTGATTCACTATATCAGTCATTCTTGTTAAATAAACAGATAGAGATTCGCCATCATTCATTCTAGTGTACTCAAAATCTCTCCTTAAACATTGTAGTTGGACAGATCTAACCTTTTTGTCACCACGAAATTCTTGTTGGAGAACATCCCACGCAGCCTTGGATGATTCAAAGTTTGAGATTTGAGGAAATATTTCGTCAGAAACTGCCCCTTGAATGATGCCAAGAACTTTTGCATCTCTGGTTTCATTAATTTTCATTGAGCTCTTAACTGACTTATGTTCTTCATCACTGGAATCACCACCAGGCTCTGCGTTTTCGATACCCTTGTCCACCAAGTTCCAGAGATCATATGATTTGAATATGGTCTTCATCTTGATGGACCAAAAATCGTAGTTGGACCCATTGAAGATAGGAGCCCTCAGATATCCTCCACTGCTCGAAGTAGCCATGTGAGACTTTGTAAGAACAGTAAGGTTTTCAAAAATTCTGGAATTGAGTTTCCCTCCTTTTTCAGTAGTACGAAGCACACAAAAACGCCCAGTTCTTAATTCTTGATCAGAACCTAAGCTCTGATACCATGTGAAATCTTAGAGTTGTTTTGTAGTTGATATTTTAGGAGGGAAAGTTTAACACGGAAGAGGAAAGGTTTTTCAGGAATGTGCAGAGCTCTCTGCACACAGAGCAGCTACACAGATATTTTATAGAAATATCAGCACAACAACTTTCTATTACAAGCTATCTCAGCCCTTAATTTATAAAACAGAAATCTAAGCCTACACTTGTCCTATGAGACTAAGTAAAGACTTAACAGTTGATCCCTTCCTTCTCAGCCATTAGATCAAAACCAACTTTCATTTAATTCCAACATGCCAGCCTAGCTCGGAAGTGAGAGCGATGAAACTGCTGAAAGAATGCTCACAAGCTTTACTCTATTCAGTTCCAGTCCAGATTGCATCATGTCCAAGAAATATTGTATAGCTCCAGTGTCGGAATATAACGCAAGAAGAGCATTTGACACTGTAATATTCATATCAAGTCCCAATTTAAGTGCTTCACAATGTATCTGCTTTCCGAGCATCATCCAGGCCTGGGCGACACAAATTTAAAAATTTAAACCCATCAAATAGTAAAAAATAGGGTGGTAAGAAGAAATACACCCCACCACTAGTATTTTATGTACTCACTTTCTGATTTGACCCAATTAAAAAATGTCACGTGTTTCTTGTTTTTGAAAGCACAAGAAAAATTAGTGACATGTCCATTATTTTAAAACAATACAACATGTGCTAAAATTAAAAGGTGAGCACTCATTAGTGAGTACCTAAGTATTATCCTTTCTTATTATTATATTGTCACAATGTGTTAAAATTAAAAGGTGAACACTCACTAGTAAGTATCTACATATTATCCTTACAACTCGTTTCATGTTAGTTTCTTTCTCTCTCCCTTCCCCACCCCAAAAAAAAAACCTAACATTGGATCTAACGAGTCATAATGATGGTATTTCCAGGTTTTCATATAGAATACATTGATGCACAGTAAAAATCACAATAAAGTGACTGATTGTTTAGATTTTTCATGAGCTTCTTCGTCCACATGTTAATGCCGGAAACTCAAAAGGGTTCCGGTCGAAGATATGAACATTGTGTGGGAGAAGTTCTTGTCTTGGTGCAAGTATGTCAACGGGGGGTCCAACTTTCAGGCCACAACATAAAACTTGGTTGAATTTGAACTATGTAGACCATATTTGCATGGTTCAATTTCATCAAGCTCACAAGAATCTCTCTTTTACAAAGGGGTTGGCATATACACCTTAAATTAACTTAAGTTCCAAGCATCAAACTGCCTTCACCTCACCAATTCAAACATCCCAAACTACGCCTCCAAATCTTGACTTGATGTTGTGTGCAGGCTAGAGAGAGAGGGAACACGAAAACCTTTAATAAAGAATGACGATGATGCAAGTGCGATGACCAAAGAGATTGATCCTGGTAAGTCTTCCGGTGAACTTGATCCGTATTTGCTTCAAAAATCTTGGTGTCTACCTTGAAGCGAACGTTTCTACTTACTCTAAAATCTCTAATTAATATTGCAGCTTACCTAGCTTGCCAGTGAAAAAATTAGTATCCTCCAGCCACTGAACAATTGTTGGTCCGACAGTGACTGATATAGACTTTTAATTATGGACATGCCACTCCGGTTTAAGCATTAGACGACTGCAGGGGCAGTGTTGCCTCTCTGCGTGTAACATACACAGACCAGAAGGTTCATCTGCCAATCTGGTGAACCAGCGGAAATTCTATGAGCATTATAAAGTATGCTCTCCCTGCTTCTCTCTGATACCGTACAGTGCCATTCATGATCTTCACCAGATTTTGGCTCATTTGTAGGCCTAGCCCTTCCTTTGAGACGCGATGGCTACTGTGAAACATCTCTTGAATTATATCGTCTGGAATTCCCCAGGCTATGTGAGTGATACTGCAATGTTAACCACACAACTGAAGTTAGCATTCTTAATTTAGGCTGTCAGATGGCAGGTTCCATAACTGTGTGAGTAATATGAAGTGAGAATTACCCAAACTCAAGATGAACAATGTGCATTGTCATGCCTATACGTTCCTTCTTTGGACTCAGTCTGAAAACAATGGACGATCCTTCGGATGCAGGGGTGAAGAGGAGTGAGTTCGTCAAGAAATCAGACAGGACTTGTTGTAGCCTTAAAATTGTCTCCGTACAAGAGCATGGATGCCACCTCGGCTGGTGAATCATGGATGACCTCCATTTGCCGCTCCTGACTCAAAATCATAACTTGATTTACGACAACCTCCACAGTTTCCCCGAGGTTAAACTCAATAGAATTTATTTCCATGTAGCTGCAAGTAGGATTGAAATTACTGTAAATGACAAGGGATTATAGTTCCTCATGAATCAGGATCAATACTGAAAACAAGTTATGAAGTTTCTTTTATTGCCATTTCAAAACATAAAAATGGGCACTACAAATCTGATATTGAAAGAACAAAACTGATAGGGTGCACAATTTTGCAAAACAGTCTTCGATTTGAAAGAGGACAAAAAACAACATACCATTCCTTAATACCTTCGAGATCAGTGTCATCAACAATCTTGGCCAATTGGTCCTGACACAATCTTCTCAAGTAACCGCTTCTGCTCCTCATTTACATCAGAAGACCTCATCAGATTATGCATAAGCATAATCCCACTTGGAGGCCTTTTGATTTCTTGACAAACGTACACCAGTTTCTTAATACTATCAGCTGCAGCCTGCTTTGATGCTCTCTGCATCTGCATAGCATACATAAGTTCTGGACTAGTCACATGTAAAAAGCACAAAACCCCAGTTATCCTTCCCACTCTATCAATTCGTTTGTTGGCAGAAAGTAATGCTTTGACATAATTATCCTGCTGATTATAAAACCCAAAAAGCAATTTACAAACTTCCTCGCCTATTATTACCCCATTTAGTAGAATATTAAGCTTCGTCAATGTATCATGATTCATGACCTTTAACACGACAACCAAAATTTTTCACTGTGAAAACTTCCCCAATGAGCATCCGACCAACTGCTTCTTCCCTTCTCAAACCGGACAAGTTTTGCATAGCATCGTTCCACTCCAAGCAACGAATATTCTCATCAGTCAAAAATATTGGAGGAATCAGTGCAGATGGGCTCCGAACAATTCCAACATAATCACAGATAGAGGGGAGGGCAGAGCTTTTGGTTTGTCATGTTGTCAAAGAGTTGAACAATGGTTTTTTGTGTTGTCAAAGAGTTAAACAATGAAAATAGATCATTAAAGCAGTACGTGAGCTGGGTTCAGAACGTCGTGAGACAGTTCGGTCCATATCCGGTGTGGGCGTTAGAGCATTGCGAGGACCTTTCCCTAGTACGAGAGGACTGGGAAGGACGCACCTCTGGTGTACCAGTTATCATGCCCACGGTAAACGCTGGGTTTTCCCTGGTAAAATCTTGGCATACAAAACAAACCCCAACTACATTTTCCTTGATGTCTCGGCTACAACATGAATCAACCACCAAGATTACAAAACTGTTATTTTCTTGCTTACCAAATGTTTTCAGTTTGAATTCAATATTTTTCTTCTGTACACGTGCCATTTTACAATCACATCAGTGAAATTGCGGAATAAGGAGAAGGAACCCAAGAAATGTATAAGGGAACATGTATATAAGGTAAATGAAAAGCACACTACTAAATTATTAGAACTTCATACACATTGGTTATGAAAAAAATTATAACCACATTACTGGTACAAAGAGTATTCATGTAAAAGGGCTGTGGGTCAGGAAGCAACCCATACACCATTCACAATCAAAGCTTGGGTAACAAGGGAATCATCTGCTTCAACGTTTGTGAAAATTAATGTAGTCAGAAGCTTGAAGGAATACAAAAGCGGACATCTAGAAAAAAATGCTCTTAACAATCATAATACCAAATCGCAATTTATACCACCATTCACCATTATCCATCTGACAATATGTTTATTTATCACCAAAGACAGTACAAATGTCCAAAGACTCTTCTTTTTTTTTTCTTGAAAGGGCCCAAAGACTGTTCTGATTCTGAGCATGTCTGAATCACCTATTCTGGTCTACTTATCATCTAGAGAAACATAATCACAAATCAGCCAAGTGTCAATTTTTTCTTTAGAACCTAAATTTGCCTAGAATGGAGAAACATGGATGATGGATTTAAAATTCTAGAGTCAAAGGATGCATAGTGGCGTTACCTTGCAATGCGAATGAGAGCACGTCCTTCACCACTTCAATAGAATCATCTCCATCAATATCAACTAATGGCATACCAATAGCTTGCTCAGCAGCTAATCCTGTTAATTCAGATGCTTTCATATTCCACCCATTTATAGTACCAGAGGCATCAACAGCAAAAATGGGAACTACAGCTGACTCAATAAGTCGAACCATTTCATTTGTGACAATGCACAGTTCATCCACTCTCTGTATCCTATCATCAACCGATGGAGCCTTCACAATCACTTTGGAATCATCCACAGGCTTGTCTGGTAATGATACTCTCAGTATCAGCTGTAAAGAATGGATGACATCCATTTCAATATCTTCCCGAGGTACGCTTCGCCACTTAACCACCTCCAGAAAAGCCTTGAATGATGACCTTGGATGCATTTTTCTTCCATCATCCTTGTCATCAGGATCATGTTTTGCTCCACCCCATTTGATTTCCTTTGCGGTGTGGGACCGAAACTAAAACAGAAAATCCTTTGAGGTAATCTAAATGGCAGCCACTGCGCAAACTTCATTGCCAAGAGCTGAAGCACCAAGATAACCAGCTTCCATAAGGCTATCAGTACTTAAGCATGTGCTCCCACTATGGTAATTGAGAAGCCATTCAGCAATATCCTCAATTTGTGCCTCTGTCGGGCTTAACCCCAAGTAACCATAATTTCTTCCTGTAATATAATGCAGCTCCATCACACTTAACAAGATCCATCACATTTGGCGATTGAGTAACAATCCCTACAGGGGAATCCCTCATGAGCATGTCACAAAGCAGAGTCTGTGTTTTTAATATATGTTTCTCCCTCGACTGAGAAGCCAGCTCCACTTCTTTGCTGATCTGTACACCAAAAACTTGTATCAAGAACTCACAGGTATATCTCAAAGGGAATGGAACAAATTAGGGCTTGTGTGATGGCAAACCACTAAGCCCCATCATTTTCTTCTTCCCTTCCGCTGATCACTGTCCATCTCATAAACATTGTCCTTGATTGTAACAAACATCACAAGAGATGCAATGGAACCCATACTTTCCATATACTGTGCATGAGAACCAAGAGGAAATCTCAATGTTGATCCACAAAGACTCAATGGTTGAGCTAATTTCTTTTCCTGGATCACTCTAACTGTAGCAGCTTAACAATCACATATCATCCTAACCTTGTTCCTCATAAATAAGAATCTAGAAGCCTGTGGTACATCAGTGGCTGGGAAATGCAAACCCAGATAAGGTTCCAGGTCAGGTCTATGGCACTCAGCGATAACTTCCCCGTGTTCATCTTCATGAAATTTATACACCATTATGCGATCATAACCTGTCAAATCACTAACTTCCTTAACTGTAAAATCACATAACAATGATAAATTCCCCCTTGGCAAAGACTGCAAGTTTGAGATGGCTTTGGCTGGAAGCTTATAAGATTTCAATGCTCCCGCAGCAGTCACTGGAACATCAGATGGACTTAGTGGTTCCAAATCTATTACTAAGCCAAAATCAACTCCATGTAGAATTGCATAAAAGGGCTTACCAGAGGTTCTAGAATGCACCAATATGGAATTGAGAAGATTTAACTTCCCCAAACTGGGCTACTTTCTGCAACGCAGCAGCACCTGAGGACCGAAAGAGTGTCCGCACATCCGCTCCAAAAGTCAAAGCTTCTTGCTGCTCAATAATTGAAACCGCATGAGGGGCCAAGTCCAACATTTCCGGGGCATTTACACTGTAGGCAAGAACAGTTAAGTTTTTCTCATCAACAGCAATCAAGCAACCAAATGGTTGAATAAGGCTTCCTCGCTGCATATTTCGGAGATAGCAGATACATTGCTGGAGGGGACATTGTTAGTGGAAGATGATTTATTGCAGTCAACTGAAGCAGAGTAATCAAAACGCCGTTCAGATTCTTGGAAGTCTATGTCAAGCTTCGCATCAATGGGTGTCTGCGAAAATACACGAATCCCAGGTTTTGATTGACTAGAGCTGCTTCTAGAACTATTCATTTTGTTCAAAGACACCGACGACATGTCTCCAACCTTCTTACCCTGCAATTGTTCTTTATTCTTTCACCAAGTAGAGCTAAGTTCAATTCTCCCCAGCCGCAAAAATCAAGTAATTCGATACCACATAACCAAAATTCAACAACCAACATTGAAATAATAAACTATTAGCTCCTAAAAACAATCAAGAAGTTATAGAAAAACTGAAAATAAATCCAAAACCACAGCCAAATTACCTACAATTGGTCACTGGAATCTTCCGGACCCGAAAACCATCACGAAAGTGGAAGGGAGAGAAACCCACCACCATTTCAATGTCAAAAAAGCAACCCCCTTTCCAATTACCATAACTCCAAGAAAAACCACACAGAAAAGAAGGTCATGTAATTCACAGTCCTCATGATTCCTAGAGCATCTCCAAATTGGGTTGCTGGTATACACTTTCACAAAACCTCCATACAAACTAAAAAATCAGAACCCAGATTACTTTTACTGCTTAAAATTGTTCCAGCTTCTTCAGAGAGGTAAAAAGATTGTATCTTTACACTCACTAGTTGACATTCCTATCTCCTCCGACAGAGTTCAAATTCCCACACCAAGATAATTTTCAATAAATAAATTAGAAAACAAAATAACTTAAAAATAAAACCAAAAAATTTATATGCATTATATATATATAGATAGATGAAACAGTGGGAGAGGAGGGATGGGGTGTCACTGAAAAAAAAAATATGCAGGGCATGGATCAGGCAGCCACGTGAAAACCGACCAGGTTCTGCGGCTCCGGACTCCCATGAGAGAGAGGGGTTCACAAAGAAATTAAATAAGCAAAGATTTCAGCTTTTTTCTTTTAATTTCTACTGGATGGGTTTTTGTTTTTGTTCCATTTTTAGTAATGTTTGGTGAATTTTGTACTGTTCATCACTTCTTCTTTTAGTTTTATGAGCTGCCAAAAAAACAAGAAAAGAAAATGAAGCAGCCATTGCTTTGCTAGTTACTAGGGATGGTTCGGTATGGGATACCATACCGAAACTAGTATCCCGAATCCCAAACCGAAATTTTTCGGGACGGTAATTTGAAGACCAATCCCAAACCAAATTTTCGGGAATCCCAAATTTCGGGAATCCTGAAATATTTTCGGGATTTTGGGACAAATCGGGAATCCCAAATTGAAATATGAAATTATGAATTGTTTTTCAAATATATAATTCAAGAATACATTTATGAACTAGGAATTTCATTTCATTCACACTACCATTTAATTGAACACTGGCATGCTTGACTTTTTTTATCATAGTCAAAATTCAAATTAATTAAACTCTTTTTGCAATCTGTTGAGAGACAAAAAAAGCAAGCCTTCTGAAATCATCAGCCATGGCAGCAGCAATAATAAAATCCACATGAATATCAAACAGAACATGAAAAATATGCAAGGTGTAGGGCATTCTAGGTTGCTGAGCATGAATTAGAAACTACTAGCATCAATTATAAAAGAATAATATATATATATGTATAAATATATATAATAATTAATATTATATATTTTCGGTTTGGTATGGGATTCCCGAAATATCGAGAAGCCAATCCCGAATCCCATACCGAAATTTTGGGATTGGTTCGGGATAGTATCCCGAAAATTTCGAAAATTTCGGTTTGGGAAATTTTTGGTTTGGGATCGGGATTTTTTCGGTTCGGTTCGGGATTTTTTCCAGCCCTACTAGTTACTTCTGGTGAGGTAATATGGGAAAAGGGATTCTATCCGGATTCTTCTCATCAAATTCACCTAATCATTTAATTTAGATTCTTAAAATTTGATCAAACAACTAAAGTTATTATAACTTTTAAATAGATTCTCTATTTGTACCTATTGGATTAAATTTCAAAAGGATTAATTGATTTTGTGAATTTAGTGGAAGCGATGAAGAGAATCCCTTTCCGTAATATAAGTAACGGGTAGACTTTTTGACTGGGGAAAGTACAGTTTTGACATGGGTTTAGAGGGATTTGCATTTTGTGTTAATCATGTTACAATGCAAATTAGCAGTTGGTGACAGTTAGTGCGCAAAAGCATCGTGCATCTTTGACTTATGATGTGATAAAAGCTAAGAAGAGTTTTTTAAAATAAGATTTTCTATGGATATTTTGTCAGTTCAAAGTTGGCAGAGTCATTTTAGCATTTCTCATTAGATGTTTGTTGCAAAGTCGAAAGCAGCATAAAGAGCAGGAATGGGTTTTCCTCATAAGTGATGTATTGTGGCATTTGAAGTTTACTTCTTTTTTTTATTAATTAGGGCGAGAATCTGAACTATAGAAATCGTTTTGACATTAAGAAGAGACTTATCACTAGATTAGACTAATAGCTAGCTGACTATATCAAGTTTCCTAGAAGTTAATATATGGCTGCTTGTTTCGAGAATTGACATTTTTTTATGAATCCTTTTTGGTTAAAGATAATGAAGGTAGTAATGTATGTGTATTTTTGCTTAATTGTTACATGAAATATATACGGTTGATACCATCATTGTATCACATTGTATTTACCAATACACTAATTGTAATCATCGCACTTTCATTTACTACAATTGTCACATTGTTAGTAGAGCTAAGAATTTGTTTTGAATATTGATCAAGTAAACTCCAACTAAGATAAAAAAAAAAAAAATTAAATAAAAAAAAAAAGGAAAATTACAAATCCACATGCAGCAAAAGCATGTGATTATGGGCACTAGTCCTTTCCTCCGATATCAAGTACAAATTCGCAGGGTTGAAAACGTCATAATATCATGTGTCTATGGCCCAAATACATCGCAACTGCACAGGATTTTGACACGTGTCAACTAATGAGGGGGAAGAATCTTTCAGGCCAAGTTTTTCTTGGAAATCGGAAGCGTCAAATATTAGGAGCCGGATTCTTTCCCGTTAATTTTCTTTCCCCTCCAGTGTAGTAGAGAGAAGACGAAGAGGAGAGAATCCGGCTTCCAATTGTTATCATTGTTGTTTGTTTTATCAAATTTTATTTGTTTCCCACTCATGAAAGTGTAGTTGATAAAGGCTAAGGAGACATTGTTTCTTGTCACGTGTGCTTATAGCAATCGTCAAACTCACGTGATGAGCTCCGCAGAAACATCGGGATATATCTCCAGTGACACCCACGTGTTTCTCGTTGATTTGAGAATACACACCACCACACAATCTCAACCACATTACCAGATGATTACATGTTTGAACACATACTTCCTCTACGAGATGCCTTAAAAGTAATAAGCATAACAGAAAATGGAAGAAAAGAAATGAAAATTATGATTTATATAGAGCAAGATTTTGATTCTTGAAGAAACAAACATAAACATCATCTGTAACATGATACAAAACATCTCACGGCTACTCATGCCATTGGCTATCACTTAACAAAAACGAAATCCAGATCTTACCGGTTACAACAGATGGCTAAATACCGACACTGAAAAAGCAATGTCTATCTATGAATGATACATCTGAGCAAAACTCAAGCACAAACGATGGTCTCTCTTGTCCCCCCAACCTCCCCAACCTTTGAATCCGGCTTTGTACCCTGGCTGATTCTCAAAGACCTGCACTTCCCAGTCCGAGTTGATGTTTGCAACCTTATCTATCTCCTCCAGTTTAAAGTTCACCATGCCGTTGTCTATACATGCTTTTGCCTCCCCCTGTCCCTGGTGCAAACCACACCTGCCAAAGTGTACTGCACTAGTCCGAGGCCCTCGTAATGTGAAAACAGGATTACCAAATGAGGGATAGACCGTTGCCCACATTGTTATATCCCAATTGTAATCGTCAAAGAAACAAAATTCTGAAGTCTTTTTGTGAATTTTCCTCCAAACAGTCCGGTTAAATGTATATCCTACGTTTCCCATTCTCTCTGCAATCAAACTATCCCAACCTTCTCCTCTTGCATTCACATCACACGGAGCTAAATTGGCAGCATAGCAATGAGGGCATTTTTGAGGCTTCAATTCTGTGAGTATCTGCAAGTTACGATAAGCATTGGGATAAATATAATGGTCCTCCTCTATGAAAAGAATATGACCATTGTGATCCTTGGTCTCCTTCAATCCATCCCACACTGTGTTCATCATCCACCACCAATGATGCTTTAATGACACAATCTTCGGAGAACGGTGGTTTCCATACTGATCAGGAGTCCCCTTACAGTGTTTCGTTTTTGCATCATCCCTTTCCTTACAGTCTGTAGGCGAAACCCCTGGAAAGCTATTGGGAAAGACGTGGGGCGAGTAAGGTGCAAAAATTTGTTTCACTTGGCAAAATCTGACCCCTTCCACAACCTTGTTCATTTCTTCGAAGTATCCATCATGACTTACGATCAGTAAAGTTTCATTTATACCTACAACCTGAGACAGACTATCAACAGCTACTTTGAGATACTGCGGCCGGTTGTGCACATAAAGAACTATAGTTATGTGATCCTTGGCTAGACTTGGATAGAGATCTAAGTTCCTAGGGGGAAGCTGATTCCTCTTTTCCAACTTCAGTGAGAATTCAGTCTGCTTAGGGAGGCTAATTATTTGTCTAACATGTGAACGATTACCACTCCTTATCGATACCTCACCAAAATCATCCGAAGGCGGCGTGACAAAATTTGAAATTGAATTAAATCTCAGAAGGAACATCAGCAGGAAAACCCCTAACAATGTAATCGAAACCAATGGCAAGAAACGGCGAAAAGCCGCTTCATCATTTAGACGGTGTTTCTTGATAATAGCCATAGATTCAACAGCAGTTATGGGAACAAACACACTTCATATGACAGTTACAGCCACACCATTCATATTTTCATAGAATTCAGAAACCAGATATGCAGAAAAAGTGGAAAACCAAATACTTGCAGCTAGAAAACTGAGTCTTTAATTCTCTCAAACAAGCACAACCAAGTATTTAAACTTCAAAACAGCACCAACCCATTTGAGAACAGAGTGAGCAATCAAAAGGGTAGGGATCAAAAACCTCCAAAACAGTCGGTGCGACGAGATCAAATCAGCCAAAACTTGATCTAATTGCATCCATGGGAGTGAAATCTGAGCTTCCAGTTGCTGCAACTTCGAGCTTCCTTTTGCTGCAACTCGAATTTGGCAGGACAAATCAAAGCTCGGAAAGCAAGAATCAAATCACAAAACCCACATCCAAAACTGGAGGAAAAAAACAGGGTTTATGGTCAAAATCCAATCTTTGAGCAGCAAAGATAGATTTCAAAGGTTGATATGTCTTTCGTATCAACGGCTTTGATTTGTCAGTTGACCGATGACTTGAAGAAAATTTCCAAATTCCAAAAGGAAGACCTTTGAATTTGAAAGTGGGAAATTTGTCTGTATATTATTATGGGTAGCGAGGTGGCGGGTCACAATCAAAAGCCGGTAATTTCAAGGAACTGCCTTTGATTGCGAACTCCGCAACAATTTGGTAATTGACAGTTTTACTATGTTTTATGGGACATATATTGCAATTGGGTTGTAGGTATGGTCTATTTAGGCCATGGCTATCAACTTGGTAGAATTGGTAAAGCATTTTTCCTTTTGGGGTAGATAGTAGAAGATTGATACTATATTTACCATCTATTTTTACGATCATTTGTATCATTAAGTTGAGGGCCACTTAGTACTACAGTTTAGTATCATTCCTCTTTACTTGTAAGTGAGAGGACTTAGGTTTGATTTTCTTTAAAGACGAATTTGAATCACATTAGCAAGTTTATTGTGAGGCTGAGCCACCTTCTCTCATGTAGTGTAAATAATATCATTTGTTAAAAATTAACAAATTGGAAGGGTATGCCAAAATGCTAAAACGTATTGGTAATTAGCATTTTGGTAGCAAATAAATAATGGAAACCAAGTTACAACACTTGAAACACCAAATTTACATTCATATATGTATTTATTGAACTTGAAAATTTCCAACGTTACCTTCATACAAGCTTTTATATGATTGCAATTTATGATTATATTTGGCAGAAAAACTTAAAAGTGTTTCAAAATCATAAAAGTATTTTTTGGATAAACACATGACATATTAATAGATTATGTTTGGCAGAAAAACTTAAAAAAGCTTTGAGAGTATAGAAGTGTTTTATAGATAAACACATGACAGGTGACTCTTTAGAAAACAATTCCACCTACTTTTTCAAAATTTGTAATAAAGATTTTAATGTGTTTATAATAATAAAAAAAAAAACCGTTAACAAAAGCGCTAATGAGTACTGATTCTTATAAAAATAGTCTCAAACGAGTCTTGGTAAGAAAAAAATACCCCAAAATAAGAAATGAAACGGGTTACTTGAAGTCGAGACTTGAGTGTTGGGTGTTCACATATATGGAGAGGAGTGGGATAAGGTTAGTACCAATGACTATCTGTCTCCACCGTGACCACACCATACCCCATATCCAAAAGCACTCACATATATTTGTGGTGCAGCTCAAGAGATGGCCGACACAGAGCTCACTCTTCCCACAAATATGGCAGCCAAGTTGGCCCTCTTTTCTCCCACCACATTTCTAGCATCCTCCACCCCGTCGCCGCCACTATATCCTCCTTCTTTCACTTCCATTTCACACAAGAGGAGGCCACACAGTTTCAAGATTCATGCAGAATTAGGTAAGTAAATATTCTCTCTTTTTTTTTCCCCATTTATTTTACTTACATTTAAATGTAAATTTTCCAACTTCATTAAGTTTTGAAGTTTTTCTCAATGGTGTTAGGTGGTGGAGATGGAGAAGTCAATAAGGGATCAGGGAAGAAAAAATTCATAACCAGAGAACAAGAACCAGAGCAGTAAGTTCTCCCACACTTTCATCAGTTACCAAATTTATCTATGGTAATTTTTCTTCATAAAACATGTTAAAGAATGATCACACTGTAATTAAACATAAATATAACAAAAGGGTTGTGGCTCAGTTGGTTAAGATTATTCACCCTTGCAACCGACGTTTGGAGTTTCGAATCTCCCATCTCCCAATATCGCTTGTATAAGAAAAAACTAAGAAGAATTTAATATATGCAATTTTGCAGGTATTGGCAAACAGCAGGAGAAAGGGAAGGTGAAAATCCCATGATGACCCCCCTTCCATACATCATCATATTTGGCATGTCAACACCTTTTGTAATCTTGGCCATTGGTTTTGCTAATGGTTGGATTAAGGTACCTGTTCGATGATAATCGACAGCGATTAATTGCAGCTTGAGGAGCAGCAATCGACAGCACATGAGTTTTTCAATCATTTGAGTTGTTCTCAAATGTTTTGCTTGCATAGTCTTTTTTTTCACCAATATGTTTGGTATATGTTATGAGTTTCTCATATATATTAATCACAGTTGAGTACTTTTGTTTCTGATCTTGGCTGGTAAATGGGAAATGCACTTGCAGTTATTGGTAAATATATTTGGTAGCGAAGCGTGGCCCAGTTGAAGGAAGAAACTTTTAAAATCGAGTTTCGATTACGCATAAATTGTTAAAAGTAGCACATCATATACAAAATGAACACGTTCATTACATTTTGGCAGACCATCCAAATGGTTTTTTTTTTACCTACATTAAGTCACAGCAATCTTTTAAACAATATTACTTCTATGAAATATTTTCTACTCACAAAATAAAGATACAAAATTACTGATTTGCTCTTCTCCGTGGCTTGTATAATACCGTTGTGACAAACTTTTTACGAAACCTATGTGTAGAGCTGAGTGCAAAAAACTCGCCGCCAATTTGGTTCTGGATGTGCAAATGGTTCAATTGTGAAGGATGAGGCATTGGTGGCTGGTCGCCGTTGTTGGAGGATGATGGCTTGTTTAGAAATGCTACTTGTAGTTGTGGGGGTACTTCCAGCGGAGGTTTACTGAAATCATCTTCGCTTAATAGTCTGTTGTCATAGCTTGAAGGTGGGGATGGAGGAGGTTCGAACTTTGCCAGATGCTGGGGCAATTCTGAAACACATTCCTGCATAATCCATGTGAGGAGTGAAATCAATTTATATAATATAATGATGAAGCATGTAAAGTGATACTCCTAGAGTGTGCAAAAGATAGAGAAAAAAGAATAACAAGCACACTCCTACATGATGCAGCTCAAGATTACACTGATTCATCTGCTAAGTACGGAAGAAACGTTATCAGCAAGGCGAATTGATAATGGACTGACAAGTACTATAAAGTTGGATATGCCACATATAATCGGAAAATTATGTACATATTATCATTAGGAGATTTCGGTAATATTTGGGGTTCAAATACAGGCTAGGATCATAAGGGGTTCGGTGTGTATTCATAAGCTCTTCCTGCAGTGCAAGTAAAAGTAAGTAGAAATCCCAACAATGTGATGCAGAAGATTCAGTTCGCTTGCTTGTAGCGTTGAAGTTTTTACCGTTAAAATGCTGAAAATCGGTGTAGGGAATTTTGTGTTAGATGTTCTGTGCAAGAGAGAGTGAAAGGAGGTGAACTGAATGGCTCGAACGAGTGCAATGTTTTATAGCTTACAGTGTCGTTGTCACTGGTACGAAATTGTAAAATGATAAAAAGCTGTTTATTTGCTCCCAACACGGCTGATCTTCACTCAAATAAACTAAGACTTCATCCTAAAAACTTGATTTATAACCAAAGTGAAAGGTAAACCTGAACAGAGAACGAAAAAAAGGATGGGGAGCAAGAGGACTAGTACAAGGAACATAACATTTTAATCATTTATAGACTAGAAACAGATCACATTACGAGTCATAATAATACCTGTAAATCCAAGATGTTATACGCACTCCCCGAATTATCATAGACCCATGGACTGCCTGGATCACACATCAAACACCCGTCAACAATGAAACGGTACTGGTAGAGACCTGGTGGAAGCAACTTTATGGTAAGGAAATCATTGTCTCTACTCTGCAAGAGCTCCCTGATATAAGGAGATGAAAGTTATTCATATCAAAGCCTGATGCCGAAAATGATGCTCACAACAGAAACAAAGTTGGAAATTTTTGGATAAGGAATGCGCTATATAATTTAGTACCTACTCTCCCAATTGTCCCATGATCCTGTGATGGCAACTTGCCTTCCACCGTGATTCCATGAGATCTTCGTCCACATCAATTTCTCATCGTGTACATTACGATTAACTACTGTATGTTGCGGTGATGCCTCAGCAGGTCTTGGTAAGGGTTCCCCAGGATACTGAAAATGCAGATAAAATTTAAAGAGCTCCATCCCTGTGTGTTTTATAGGCATGCATGGGGGAATTTGATTGCCTTTTGTACATCACAGTAAATAGTAAATACTAGAGAAAAGACAAGTATCTGAAATGGAACAAATTCACCTGCAATTAGTTTTCCATTTAGAAAAAAAACTAGAAAGTAGAACCTTAGCAGAAGGAGACAGTTTCTTGAACCAACAGAGATACAACAGGTGAATAAATTTCAAATTATTCTAATTACACTGTTAAGTGTCAATAAATTCTTGAACTTTAGTTCATTGCTTCAACTTGAATGATCTATCATATGATTGTTAAAAGATCAAACAGTAAAAGATAAATGATTTCGGCACGTCCTTTTTCTCTGCACTCCACCTTGCAGTTTTTCTAGCCTTTGGATTGAATATATCCTGCGACTCCAGAGACAAAAAAAGGGAGGAGTGTCGAAGGAGACAACGAAAGTGTGAAAATCACATACATGATGCCCCATTCGTTCCGTAAACTAATAATACAAATTGCACTGAACTAAAGCAAACCGTTTTCACCCCCTTACAGTAATATTGTCAATTTACAAATGCCAATCCAAACATCCAACCAAGTGATAGAGATTCCCATTTGAGAAAACTGTTCTTCAGACATTTTCTGATGCCAAAAATGCAAAAGCAAACACACATGAAATTTTTGAAAAACTGAAAAAAAAAAAAAAAAAAGGAATAAAAAAAAAGCTTACCTGGGAAGTGAAGAAAAGAGATGGGCTCCGAGACATGGATTCTTCTACATATCCATCACAGTACTCTCCAAAGTTGTTAACTCCAGGAGGACCTTCTCCATCATCTCTACTCCCACTTGGATTCCCCATTACTGAAAACAAAGGAAACCCAGTTTAGTTTTCATCTGACTCAGACAAATTCAAGGGGATAAAAAGAAGAAAAAATAATTATATTCTTTGATGGAGAATTGGAATAAGCAAAAAAAGAACAAGAACAAGAACAAACAAACCCACAAACAGAAAAGGCAAAAAGATGAAAACCCAAGTGAGTGAGTGAGTGACTGACTTGTGTTTGGCGACTTACCCATTTCTTCTTCAAACAGGCTGCAACCACACAAGAAACCCAATTAGGAAGTGACTGAAACTCAATGAAAGTTTACATTTTTTATGAAGGTTTCCTTTTTCTTTTTTTTATTTTTTTTAATGTCTAATGGAATGGACAGCACAAGTTGTTGTGTTCCCCTCTCTCTGTCTCTGTCTCTCTCTCTCTGTGTCTCTCTCTCTCACTAAAATCACTGGCTCTGAGTGTTGAAAAGGCAAACACCGGACAAGAAGCAGTAAATTTGATTCTCCAATGAGTTTGGAACATCCTACGGTGGAGAACTAATTATGCTTTTCTGTTATAAAAAACAGAAAACGTTGCCTTGTTGGGTTGTGTTGTGTCGTCTATACAACTTGATGCAGCTGCCAAGTCCAGCTTGCCACTACACTGCACTGTGTTAGCTGTTTGATTTTGATATTACAGTTTAGCATGAGCTTGGTACTACTGGATTAACACTCTTGCTTACAAATTACAATGCAACGGAATTGTTATTATCACTGCAAAAAAGACATAGAATATAAACAAAAATGTTATTAGTTACTTGAAGAAAAGCCAATCATGCACTACTATTAGCAGTAGTGGTGATCAACTATTTATAGACGCTTATTCTTGTTCTCTTATGAGGCTTACACGATTCAACGATTACTTTTTTTATACACTTATTTTTGTTCAATTAGGAGGGAAACGTTTATTGTACACAGACTTATATTTATATTGCAAAAAAAAATGTTTCTACAACTTGAACTCATGACTTTGTCACAAAAGTTTCTATTACGTCAAAGTTCGTCCTTCCTATTAAGCCCTAGACTAACTAAAAATAAAACAGTTTTTTTTTTTTTTTTTTTTTTTCTGAAAACAACTAGAAATAAAACAGTTTTGCTGTGATTTCGAAACATTGTATGTGTAATCTTCTTTACAAATTAAAATGGAGGAAAAGCATTCATCGAGAATTCATTCTTTTTCTTTTGCTTTGTATTTTAAAATGATAATATATGTGTAATTCCATATTCTTTCTCTTTATTCGTGTGGAATGACATAGACGACGTCCTGCCTGTTGTTGGAACACATTTTAGTATCAAACCACACACAAATTAACCTTAATTAACAGAGTAAAGCCAAGTCTAATTATATTCTTACTATGCCTCCCAATCAAAACAAAAATAAAAAATTGTCTTCGAGTTTCAACTCCCTTGTCTTATATGGTTGAGGCCACTTGGAAACCCCCATTAACATTATGATTTGGTTAATTTAGCTTTTCACCCACTTACATTCCCATTGGATTCAGACAATCTCAAAACATATTTTAAACATAAAATTTAAATTTAAAGGTTTAAGTGGCACTTTGATTTTTATATTTTTTTTACTCCACTTAATATGTTAAATTTAAAATATTATTTAGTACGTCATTTATTTTTCATAATCATAATAAGTATTTATAAAACAAAAAATAATAATAAAAATGATGAAAAACATTTATTAATCACTAAAAAAAATTTGAAGTTGCTGTCAAATTTGACAGCAACCACCTTTGTTGTTGATCCACATCATATCACATAAGAATTGGCATTTTGGTTGGAAAAAACTAATGCTGTCTTTTTTTATTGTTATTGCTAATTTTGACTTTAGACCTCTCATTTGAAGATGCTCTTGTTAATCCACGTTTGGCTGGTGGTAATTATGTCCCATGCGTAGAATCAAGTATAGGGTTAAACAAATTGCCGTAAAAAACTTTGCAACGGTAGTTGTCTATGTGCGTGTTTGATGCCAATTATTAAACCAATACAGATGTGATTGTAAATCATATAAATGAACAAAAACATAACATATCGTGGTTTACCTAAAGTTGGTGCATTCCCACTTGTGTTGTTTATGGACTTCACCATAATAATGTAGATTCCATGTCCATATATAGAGTTAGAGAGAGTAAGAGTATAACTAGGGTTACAGAGGGTGAGAGCCATTCGGTATAAAAACCATGTTAGACCCTCCTCTTTGGCTTCATAAATAAAGTTAAGCCACTAATTGCAATTGATACTAAGCTGACATTTACATTCAAGTTGCCATTAATA